TAATGTGAGATGAGATTGATGCTAACAAGAGCACTCACCTAAGGAGCTGTTTGGAAGATAAATGCTTGTCAGATGTTACTGGTCCTCAGTAAGTACCTGATCATTGTTGACCACTATCGAGGGAGCCCAGAGTCTCAGCTTCTGAAGTGGCCATCTCCTATTCCCTACGCTGTATCTTTACTTTTACTTATTATTTATTCTATATTATTATTGTTGTTGCTGCTGAGTCTTGTGCATTCTAGCCAGGTCTTGGCCATGAAGCCACGCCCCAAACCCTTGTCTATGCTATTTCTATCCTCTGTTATCAAGAGAAATATAAAAATAAGGTGTTTCCCTCTCTTTAAGTTGGAAGTTATAAAGATGAGATTCCTTCAGCTTTAGACTTTTATCCACAAGCCATGTCCAAGCAAGACATGTCTTTGAAAAATCTAAGGCAAACAGTTCCCTTTGTGAGCCAAAGTGGATCCACACTGGGCTGCTTCTCCACTAATGGTGTGAATTGTGGGTTCCCTGCATGGGGCCCCGGGAGGTGTTTTCAGTCTTGAGAAACTGAGCTGGGCAGGAAGGAGTCTCCATGCAGTGTGTCCTGATGTCCTCCCTGTTCTCTGATCTGGCACAGGCTGGCTTTACAAGGCAAGCCTGCATTTACCTATCCTCCCACCTCCAGGATGAACCAGCCTACGCCCAGCCATGTAGGACTGAGGCCCTTACATTCTAGGGGGTTCTACCTTTTATCTAACTCCTTTATTATTCTTCTGCTCTTCTGCACCCCACCCCCAAATGAAAGATTCAAGCTGAGATGTAAGAAATACAATCAGATGCTTCCTTTCAAAGGTGTCCCCAGCCAGCTACAACTGAATAGAAAACACCAGACCCCCGTGAATGCCTGCTAATCTAGCTATTCCTCTGTCTAAACTCTACTAAGCCAGACCCTCCCTCTACTCCACCCAAACTGGAAGCATGGAGTAGAAAACTACTAACGACCAAACTCACCCAGAAGGTCACATTTCCGACAAGCTTAAAAATGAGCAGGCGGCGAAACTGAGATGCACCCACTACTGAGAAATAGGCAACTCTAAGTGACAAAAGTAAAGTTAGAACCTAGATATCTGACACAAAAGATTGTCCCTCTTGGTTCCTCAGTTATGAGGAAGGGCGGGCTCAGCACTCACCAGTGCACCTGCCATTCTATATAGGGACACCTATATAGCAAAGTCACCAACTACACTGCTCTGCTGTCTGCCCTCAGTCTCCAGTGCTCTTACTATGAAGTGAGGAGCAATGCTCCTCAGATGAAGGAATCAGGAAAGGGTGCCTGCGGCTTCAAGAGGGAACTGTTGTTTCCATTTTTTTATTTCATTCTACCCACACTTCTCCCTCCAACCCAGAGGGAACTGTTTTTACTTATTTACCTTGACACTGAGATCAGAGTCTCCTGTAACTCAAACTTGCCTTCAACCTCCACATGTAGCCGAGGATAGCCTTGAACTTCAATCTCCATATGATATAGCTGAGGATAGCCTTGAACTTCAATTTCCATGATATAGCTGAGGATAGCCTTGAATTTCAATCTCCACATGTAGCTGAGGATAGCCTTGAACTTCAACCCTCCAGCATCCTGAGTGTTAGGATTACAGATGTGCACCACCACCTCTGGTTTATATGGCTTAACAACCAGGGCTTTGTGCATGGCAGATGGGCACTCTACCAACTGAACTTTGAGAGGAAAATGTCTTAGGAAACCAGGGGGGGGGGATCTGCTTCTGACAACTTGTGTGCTAACCACTGCTTTGTGTAAACAGGGCTGTATGACATCTCTGACTCCTCTAATCAAGCTTATTTTGTGAACACTTATAATGAGTCATCATTATCTCACATTCTGGAGGTATCTGTGATCAGTAATCAAGGAGGGTATTTTGGAAGTGCTCAGAAATAGTTCAGTAGATGACCCCATGCCTTTCCCATCTGGAGCCTGGCTGACACATCCATAAGCTTGCTGGGGATCGGCTTCAAGATCAGTATTTATTGCATATCTGATTTTATTAAGGAAGCAAGAGATGGGGGTGCAGTGGGAACCCAACATCAGGAGTACTGCCTTGTGTCCCTCTCTGTTGGTGTGAGTTTCTGGCTGTTTATTTTGTAAGTGATACAGTGTTGTCAATGTCAAGTATATGCTTGGGATGATTTATAAACTGGGCTAGATCACCCCAAGTTGGCATTTGGGGAATACAGAAATCACTGCGGGGTGTAGCTCCCTGGTAGGGGTGTTCATGCAACATGTGAAAATCCTTAGGTTTGATCCCCAGTACTGAGGCGTATGGAGTGGGGGGGGGGGTATAGAGAGGAGGAAAGAAGGAAAAGAGAAAACAGTCAGGGGAAGGAAGGAGGGAGGGAAAAAGAGAGAAAAAGAAGTATGGCTATAAGTAATGGTGTACACCTTTAATCCCAGCACTACAGAGGCACAGACAGGTCTCTGTGAATTCAAGGCCAGCCTGGTCTAGAGTTCCAGAAAATCCTGTCTCAAAAAGCCTCCCACTGCCCCCCAAATAAAAAGTACACATTGCTCTTCCATTGGACCCAAGCTCATTTCTTAGCACCAATACCGGACGGCTCAGAAGGGCCTTTATCTCAGCTCCAGGGGACCTAATGCCCTTTCTTTGGCCTTGGAGAGCACTTATACATGTGGCGCACACAAGTAAAAAGGAACAGAAATTTAAGAGTGAAGCAATGGCCAATTACTAACAAGTCCAAACGAAGACTGGCCACCAGCTGTCAATGAGGGGCAGTGTCAGTCCCACACACACCTCAATCTCTACTGTGTCTTAGAGACACTCACCAGGCAAGGCAGGAGGAAGCCTGCATGCATCCTGACCGTGCTGCTACTGTCCTTGGCTCTGGGTGAGATCAGGAGTTCAAAGCCATCCTCAGCTATTTAGTGGGTTTGAGGCAAGGCTGGATTACAAAAGACCCTGTCTCAACCAAAACAAGTGATGAAGGTATTAACCTCCTCTTCTACCCATTACTAGCCAGGTCTGACCCTGGTTAGCTTCTGGGATGGAGTGAGTCCTGGTGGGCAGGCTGCAGACTTACCCTGCCTCTTGTGAGCCTTTCCTCCAGCAGAAGGTCCTAGTTCATTCTCTCATCTCCTTTCGACATATGCTCCTTTGGACAAGAGCAATGATCCATATAACGGCTTTGTCACAGTGCCGGCATGTGGCCATGTGAAATCAGGAGCTCTGCCAGACCCCAGCTGAGGAAACAGGTTTCTCACTTTGCATTCTCTTTCCCAGAACAGGAGCTCAGCCTTTGCTGCTGTACCCTGGGAATGCTGCTTATCCTATATAAGGCTGACCATTTCTTTAGATTGTGTATGTGTGTGTGTATATGTGTGCATGTACATGAGTGAGTGTGTGCACACACATGCATGTGTGCTTATGTGAGTGTGCATGCACGTGTGTGTACATACAAGTACCAGCAAGAAAAACCCAGGAAAAAAGATACTTCATTATAGTTACATGAACTCATGAGACAAACGCTCATGATGGAGGAGGAAATACACCATTTATTTACAATCCATTCACTTTATCCACAATTTTCCATACAAACATAAAACTAAAAAAATAAAACCACCACTTGGGGACACAAGTGTCTTTCTTTAGTTAATCTGTTTGAGGGAGGCCCACGGGTCCTCCCATCTGTGGAGACTACTGAGGCACACCAGGGGTGGGCAGGGAACGGGGAAGAATGCCTGAGAAACAGCTTGGATGAGAGACCTAACTCACAGGGGTGAGGTGTGGCCTGTGGTGGAGCGACACAGGCAAGTGAACTTAGGGTTGTCGCCGCCTGCCTTCCCAAGTGGACAAATGGCTACTGGCCTCCATCTTCCCTTTCACCTCTACCAAACACCAAAACTCAAGCATGGGTCAGACAGCTCGTGAGCTGTGGGAGTGTGATGGTGATAGGGACACAATGACACTCTCTGGGAGGATGGCCCCATCTTGGGGACACACAGGGATCCCTTCTCTTGGCACTGATGTGTCAGCCAGCTTCTGTCCTGACCATGGTGCTGACTTACACAAGTGAAGACAGGCTAGGGACACAAAACCCGAGGGAGGTGGGCAGAGGGAAATTCCGCCATGGACGAGAGGAAGGATAGACAGGTGTTCACAGAGGCCAAAGGAGGGGCTGGAAGGAAGGGAAAAGGCAGGCAGGAGGCAGGCAGAGATACTGTCTGAGGGCCACACCCTTCAGATGGCTCCCAGGCCCCAGGCTCCTCCCCTTAAGCCACCCACCCATCAAGTTCATCTGTGCTAATGACCTAGATTGTTTTCACATGTCAATGCACACTATAAATATAAAATCATATCTGCTACAAAGAGGACATAGATTTGTACACCTTTACCATATACATAATAACACAATTTATACATAATATCTTGGAGTGGTTCACCCTGGAAAAAGAGTTTGAAGAGGTGGTTAAAAAAAGGGAAAAAAATCAATACAACAAAATCGCCCTCTTCCTCCCTCCCCTGCCCTGGTCCCTTTCAAGGGACCATCAGCTGCTTGGTCCCTAGGGTCCTTCCCAACTGGTTCTGATGGGTTATTCTAGACACAAATTCAGGTAAGTGACAAAATGCAGACACAGACACACGCACGCACGCATGCACGCACGCACGCACGCACGCACGCCATAGATGAGGAAAGGGAAAAGGCAATTCCTAGCCCTTGAGTGTAGGCCTCTCCTCAGGGTTATGAACATTGTGTCTCCTTCACCTGAGAAGGAAGGGCTCACTCACTGTGTCACTGGCTCAGGGGGGCAGGAGGAGGAGGGGAAGAGAGAAGGGTAGGGCCAGGGTCTTCTGAAAACATAGAGTGTCTCTGACCTGTGACCAGATCAAATGAGTCACAAAAGCAACAGCATGAGAACTTAATATCCTATGCCTTGGGCATGAAAAATGTGTGTGTGTGTGTGTGTGTGTGTGTGTGTGTGTGTGTGTGTGTGTTCCCTGTTTTAAAAGAAGAAAGTAAAAGAAAACCAACAGCAGATGGGTCCTGGGCAGAACCAGCAGGTGCATGTAGGGACAACGTGGGGACGGACCTGGAGCTCCCCTTCTTTTGTCCGGCGTCACCTCCTTCTCTGCCTCTCCCAGAGTCGGGCCCATCCACACGGCACAGAATACTGACAGTGGTCCCAGACACACATCAGAGACACAGCGTGGCGGATGCTGTGAAGTTAAGACCTGGGTGGCGGCGGTGGGGTGAGCTTTGTACAGCAGGAGTGGTTCCTGGCTGGGGTCCATGGCTTGCACAGTGGCCACAGTGATGAGAGCCATCAGAGATGAGGCAGTCTGGTCCCCAGGGGAGACAGCACCTATCGACGGTAGTGGTTGGGGGCGTCTGCAAACATGTACTTGAGTCTATAGGCCTCGGCCAGCAGCAGCCCGATCTCCTCATTGCCCCAGTGGATGGTTGGCAGGTTCTGCAGCAGCATGAGGAGGCCCTGCACGGCAAGGGAGGCCCAGAGGACCCTCTGTTACAAGACCTGGGATGGGGCCTCCCAGGCCAGGTGACCCCCCCCCAAGGTCCAGCTTCCTGCCTCCTAAGCGTCATGGGGCCCCCCAGAGTCTCTGACACACTAACACACACACACTAACACACTATGAGCAGAGAATGACCACAATAAAGACAATAAACACTCACCTCCAGTTCAAGGACAGCGGAGGCAACACAGAGAAACCCTGTCTTGAAAAACCAACCAACCAACCAACCAACCAACCCCACTGCTTCCAACTTCTCACGCCTTATCCCTTTAGTCCTTTTCCATATACCTGTTTCTTAATTGTACTTAGGGGGTCCCCCTCCCCAGATTTTATTTATTTTATTTTACTTTTAGTTTTTTGAGACAGGGTTTCTCTGTGTAGTCTTGGCTGTCCTCTGTAGACCAGGCTGGACTCGAACCCAGAGATCTGCCTGCCTCTGCCTCCCCACTGCTGGGATTAAAGGTGTGTACCATATCGCCTGGCACCAGATTTTACTTTTCTGATTTTTAAATTTTTGTTTATTGGTGTTTTGCCTGCATGTGTGCCTGTGTGAGGGTGTCAGATGCCCTGGAACTGGAGTTACAGACAACTGTGAGCTGCCATGTGGGTGCTGAGAATTGAACCTGGGTCCTCTGGAAGAACAGCCCAGATTTTCTTTTATGTTATTTACTTTAAGTTGTCTTGTTTACTTGTATTTCATGTGTGAGTGCACTGGGAAAAGCTGGCTACGGTGGCTATGTCTGTGCTCCCAGCACTATAGGCAGAAGCAGAAGAAACAAGACAATCCCTGGGGCTTGGGGCCAACCACATGAGCCCAAGTGGCAAGCAACCCCATTTCTCAGTGAAAGGCCCTGCCGTAAGACACAGGTGAGCTGGGCAGAAGGCTCAGAGGCACTTGCTGCCCTCCCAGCAGAGCTGGGTTTCATTCCTAGTACCCATGTGGTGGCTTAAGACCATGTAATCCAGTTCCAGGGATCCAACTCCCTCTTCTGCCCTCCAACAGGCACCAGGCACACACGTGTGGTGCACAGACATACATGCAAGCAAACATTCACACACATGAAATAATAAATATTAAAAATAAAAAATTAAACCAAGTGTGGTGGTGCATGCCTTTAATCTTGGCAGGCAGAGCTCTGTGAATTTCAAGCCAGCATGGTCTACACAGTATGTTCTATAGTGACTTCCAGGGCAGCCAAGGCTACATAAAAAGACCCTTTTAGATTTGTTTATACTGTGTGGATGTTAGCTTATGTGTAGAGAGTAGAGGTCAGAGGACAACCTTCAGGGTAGGTTCTTCCATTCTCCTGTGTAGATTCCAGAGTGTGAACTCAGTCAGGCTTGGCGGCAAGCACCTTTACCCAATGAGCCATCTCACTGACCCTCTTCCATACCCCTTAGTGGAAATTTCTAGTATTTCCATAATGAGTCCATGCTTTTTTGTAACCTGCAAACAAAACTAACCAACATAAGTGGTGCTCAGGAGAAAGGCACCATTTCTGGGATGGGAGCTACCTCCGACTTCTAACTCTAGCTTTAGAAGAAGCTTTCTAGAAACTTCTGAATAAATTTTATCTCTGGTCAAGTACTGCTTCTACTTCCCTTGCAGAAAGGTTAGTTGTAAGGAGCTACTCTGCCACCTGGTGGCGGTCCTGAGAACTACAGTCTTCCCCCCCACCCCCCCCACCTCCGTTCCTGACCCCACCCCACCACAGTTTAGCAACACGTTGAAAAAAGTGGGAAACACTCTTCAGATAAAGATGGAGAAACTGAATAAGCCAGCCAAGGGACAGAGGTGCTGGTCACAAGTTAGGTGCCCTTAGCCCAGGTGGAAGTACGCATTTTGGTTCTCACAGGCTCTTCGTAGCCCCTCCCACTAAGAGTCCCCTTTGCTGACCGGTGCAGGCACCCAGAGGCCTTTCTTTATCTCCTACTGCCAACCCAGACCCCTTGCACTCCCAGGGCTCAGGTTGGGCAAGCCAGGCCCCACCTGCTATTGCACAATTATGACATCTTAACCGCTGAGCCATCTCTCCAGCTCCCTGAACTGGGACACTTAACATTTATCATGTATTTGACTAGTTATCTCCATTTGCACATCTAAAGCTATTTTTCTCTTTCTTTCTCTTCTTTTGCAACAGGACCTCCTGTAGTCCAGGCTGATCTAAAACTTGCTACGTAGCCAAAGATATGCTTGAACCGATACTTCCCCAAATGCTGGAATTACAGAGTGTACCACCACACCCAATCTGACATTGCAAATTCAACACTCTTAATACCAACGCCCTGCTCTCCCTACACATCTGCCCCACTACACAGAGGAGCCATTCTGCCCCATCTCCCTCTGTCAATGCAAACCCAACCCATCAGATGATCCCTAACATGGCCACTTATGTCCCCTTCTTGGTGAGCTCATTCTGACTACTTCATTTGAAACTGCAGCCTCCCCTTTCCCTAAGCATCTCTAGGCTCCTATTGCTGCCTGTCTTCCCTCAGTGAGAATAGCCCTCTGCCTGCCTCACTTCCCAGGATGCCCTGGGTCTCAACAGTGACTCTCAGGTCTAGGCAGCCTCTCTGCAGTCTTTTTAGGACAAACATCCTTCCCACTGGGAAGACCTCGGACCCCAGTGGAGGGCAGCCTCCCCTGGACACCCCTCCCTTCCACTGCCAGACAAGCAGCAGCAGCAGCCCCTTAATTCCTCCCTCCCCCGGCCACTCACCTGGAAGTCTTCCTCATCCAGAATCTCCTTCCTCCACTTGATCAAGAAGGCGGCACACACGTAGAGATGGAAGTGTGAGAACCCTTCCGGCTCAGACTGGGAAAGAAGAGAAGTCAGACAGGGCCCTAAGCCCCAGCAGGAGGCCCACTGTGCCTCCTGGGAAGGTGGAAAACCCAGCCCAGCGCCCGCTACCTGACAGAGCAAATGTTAAGTGACAGAGATGGAAAGATCAGAGGCCACAGCAGACACAGAACCGAAGGTGGACGGAGAGACTTTTAAGGCACCACACTTGGCAGAGACAGCCGGAGGAGGGCCTGGTGTACCTGGTAGGTGTCCCACAGGCGGATGGTGCAGCGCAGAGGAAGCTCCCGCATCAGCAGGTTGTTCATCCACCGAAAGGCAAACTGCAGGTACTCTACCTCGTACCTCCTGAAGTGACTGTGTACCTGCTCTGAAAGGGACAAAGTCAGGAGCCACCAACAGGCCTCAGGGACAGGAGCAGGTTCTGTTTCTCACCAGCCCCTCCCCCTGCAGATTCCCTTCGGCTCCATCATCTCAGTATGGCTCACAGCAGCACACAGTATGACCACCTGACCCCAACAGCTGTACAGCTAACATCAGCACACAGTATGACCACCTGACCCCATCAGCTCAGTACAGCTCCCATCAGCACACAGTATGACTACCCGACCCCATCAGCTCAGTAGGGCTCACATCAGCACACAGCACACCACCATTTCACCAGGCCATTCCTGGGTGCCCTCTGCCTTCCTGGGGCTGCTCTGGCCACAAAGCAAGAGACATGAGGTAAACTTGACTGCTGGGCCTAATTACTCCTTAGGGTAGGGCCAGAATGGAAAGGAACCCTGGAGGCCACATTGGCCATCTCCCTTTAGCTTCCCAGACAGATGGCCAGCAAAGGTGGAGACTCACCAGAAGACTGTTTGCTTTTCAAGACAGGGTTTCTCTGTGTAGCCCTAGCTGTTCTGGAACTCACTCTGTAGACCAGGCTGGCCTTGAACTCACAGAGATCCTCCTGCCTCTGCCTCCCAAGTGCTAGGATTAAAGGTGTAAACCACCACCATCCAACCCTTTGTTCTCATTTATAGAATAGGAGAATGAGCGACCAGCAAGATGACTCAATGAATAAAGACATCACAGCTGGGGGAGTTTTGCTGCTGCTGTTGCAGTCTTAAAGTTTTTATAATGAGAAAGTACATAAGAAACAAGGGTATGGTGCACATCTGTTTAGTATGTATATGTGTGTGGGTGGTGCATGTGTGCAGTGGTATGTGTGTGGTTGGTGTGTAAGTGCATATGTAGTTGTGTGTGTGTGGTTGATGCATGAATGTGTAGCTGGTGTGTGTGTAGGTGTGTGTGTATGTGTGCGGTCTTGTGGGGGTCAGAGGACAATTTGTAGTCAGTTTTCTCCTACCATGACGATTGGGTTATCAAGTTTGGCAGAAAGTTTAATCAAATGAACCAGCTTCCTGGCCCAGTGGACACATTTTAAAACCTACTATTTTCAAGCCCCATGGTTTTATTTACCCGAGCCAGAAAAAAAAAAAAAAAAAAAAAGATACACAGTGGCAGAAACCACTGACTCTGCCCTCCAGAATCCTATGGTGGCCCTGAAAGCCATTATGTGCCCCAAAGAGGACAGTACACACCCCATACAATGCTCAGGAAAGTGATGGGCCTCACCACGGAGACATGGGCTCACCAAGGAGGCAATGGCCTTGCCATGGAGGCATGGGCTTGCTATGGAGGCTAGCAGCTGGGGCAGAGCAGTGAGACTCAAAGGAAAGCATTCCATTTAGCACAGAATACTACTGTGAGACACACATGAAGGTGATCATCAAGACCCTAGGTCAAAAAAAAAAAAAAAAAAAAAAAAAAAAAAGACCCTAGGTCATGGGGAGATAAGAGGGAGCAAGACAAAGCAAGAATGTCTCCACGACAAGACCCGGGAAAGGAGTGAGGAAGATGTTCAACCATGCAGTGAAGGAAGGGAGGCTCCACAGGGTGGGGCGGGTCTGACAGGAAGAGGTTTGCAGCGACTGGCAGTCTGTAAGAAGCCACTACAGCCGGGCAGTGGTGGCACACACCTTTAATCTCAGCACTCAGGGAGACAGAGACAGTGTCTCTGTGTTTAAGGCCAGCCTGGTCTACAGAGTGAGTTCCAGGACAGCCAGGGCTACACAGAGAAACCCTGTCTCGAAACACCAAAAAGAAAAAAGAAAAAGGGAACAGCAGCAAAAGCTGCAACAAGCTCACTGCTCTAAGGGATCTCAGGTCACAGGTCCCCCTGCTAGGTCGACATGCAGGGAAGATCCCCACCTCCCCATCCCCCACCCCCCCACCCCCGGCCACATGACCCCTGTCTTTGTCTCTGGCCACTGAGCCCTATCAGTAGGGTTTCCTGGCCACTCCTCTAAGCACCTGCTCCTTCCAGACATTTGCCTGGGATGGGGGATGCCTGTAATGAGGTTCTAGGTCCCACTGAGGTGTCAGTCAGATTTGGGGAGCCAGCATCAAGCCTAGGATACTGTCACCATCACTGCATGACAACAGGTAAGGTCAGCCCAAACCCTGATGCTAAAGGTAATGGGAAACCATTGGTGGCTCCAAAACAGAAAAAGGGCACAGCTAGAATACATTCTAGAAAAACCAGTCACATGAGGATGGTTTGAAGGTGTAGAAAGTAAATGGCCAGGACCAGGGCTGGAGGGGGTGACTAGGGCAGAGCTGGGGGAAACTGAGAACTTGGTGATAGAAACAAGGTAGAAAGACCTTGGGACAACAGCAGAGCAGAGCCCAGCCTTCCGGCCAAGCCTGAGACACTGCTAAAAGGCACTGCAAGGACAGGTCCAGAAGGGAGCCAGGGAGGGCCACACTGGGCCACGGCTAGAAAAGTCAATCCTTTCAACCTACCATCGATGCGGCTGACAAGCTCTTCCAGTGCCTTGACCTTCTTCTGGATCCCCGGCTGTGCGAAGGTGTAATTATCCTGCAGAGGACACAGAGCCTGGGGTAAGCAGTGTCCAGACCAGCTGCCTATCACACCAGCAGCTTGTGCAGACACAGGCTGCTGTGCTGTGGTCATTTGCTGAGAGTGTGTGTGTGTGTGTGTGTGTGTGTGTGTGTGTGTGTGTGTTACACAGGCCAGGGTAATCTCAGGCTTCACTCCTCATCTGTGTTCTGAGATAGGTTCTCACTGAGACGGGAGCTCACAGATCAGGCTGGGCACCTCCCAGGGATCAGGCTCAGCTTCACTTAACTGAGCCATCTCCCATCCCCGAAGCACATTTAAAAGTATGCCATCGGCTGGACCAATGGCTCAGTGGTCAAGAGTGCACACCCTCTTCCGGAAGACCCACTGTGGTTCCTTGCAGCCACCTGTAACTCCCAGTGACCCCACACCTCTGGCTGCCACAAACATCTGCACTCATGTGCACACATACCCACACACAGACACATAATTAAAAATAAAACAAACACCTATTTTAGAAGTTCACCAGTGCTAATGACTAGTGACAGGGTCTGGAAAACAAAGTGGTTCATGAAATGGTAGCACGTGGTGAATGGCTGATGGAGCCCTGCACGGCAGTTGACCCACACAGTCTAGGTACACAATAGAGAGCAAGGGCCCTCTCTGATAAAGTTAGTGTAGCATGTGGTCTCCTCAGACTCTGAGGGACACTAGACCATTGTCTAGCGAAGCTACTAGAAGAGGCAGAGGAGCATTGGCAGGGGTGGCCCTGGTGGGCACAGAAGGGCTATAAGGAAGAAAAAGACCTACAGGAGCCCTGGGCCTGGCTGCGGGCGGCTCACCTGGATCCCGTCCAGCAGCTTGCTCATGCACCAGAAGCTGTCAGCTTCAATGCTTCGCAGCATGTCCTGAGACAAGTTGGTCACATCAAAGTTCTCTACATCCTCTTCTGAAAAACAAAAGGTGAAGAAAACTCACAGCCTTATCTAGAAACAGAGTCTACTGTGCTCATGGAGTGTCTCGTAGTTCCCAGGGATGTCATCGTAACACTGACCGGGCCATTTCTTACTCCAACACAGCATGCCTTGCTCTCCCTTGGCATTTACCATTTAGATTTTCAAGAAATGACCACTCAGGACTCTTGCTCAATAAGCCCATCCCCGGCTCAACCCAAGGAATGGTCTGGAAAAACTCTTGGATTACAGACAGTCAATGAGCTGTCTACCATGCCCATAGGACAACTTCATCAGAGCTCTGTTCAACATAGGGATGGACTACCTGAATGCTGGCATTAGGCTGAGTACATGTGTGGAAGCCTCTAGGACTTAATTCCATCGTGCTAGTATTTGTCACTGATATAGGACACACATAGTGTTTTGTAGACAAATGCCATTGAGAAACACTGTATTTCTATATCACCATCTTGGAGACTCAGCAAGACCATACATATATCCATAGCATACAAAAGGATACCAGGAGTAGGATACAAGAAAGGGTCCATTAAGCTTGAGCCTCTTTTAGAGGTACTAACTTAAAAGTGTACCATGTATGTGCAGGGACCTGCAGAGGCCAGAAGAGGGCGCCAGATCCCTGGGTTTAGTTACTAGCAAGGCAGTTGTGGATACTGGAACTGAACTCAGGTCCTTTGGAAGAGCAGGAAGCTCTCTTAACCACTAAGTCATCCCTCTAGCCCAAACATCTACCGAGGATGTCTCATGAAAACTCCAGCTAGTAGCAGGGACGAGAAGCTGTTTGTTCCAAGGCTCAAGCAGAGGAGACTAAGAAACTCAAAAGAGAAAGCCAAAAGTATCTCCTGTTGGGGGCTTCTTTAACTAGTCGTTCCTGCCACAGAGAGGTGTATGGTAAGTTGGGCTCTCTCTGCCTCACAAGTCAGGCCGCTGCATGCTGTTCCGAAGCCATGTAGACATGCCTAGCTCTCTGCTTGGCACAAAAGACAGCTTTTCTCCTCAGACCTATCAGCATGTTTAAAAACAAAGTGTTCCCTGCATTCAGTCCATTGTACCAGGAAGATACAGTCAGCTGACTGACTAAATACATTCAGAACCCCTTCCCTTCATTCATGAGAATGAGGAGAGACCTTTAGCCACAGGCTTCACAACAGTTCCTGGATTCCCATTTGCTTGTATCATGCCACAGCATGTGTGTGTAGAGGTCAGAGGAAAACTTGAAGCCTGTTCTCTCTTAACATGTAGAGCTTCGGATTGAACTCAGGTCCTCAGACTTGGAAGCAGGCACCTTTATCTGATAAGCCATCTCACCAACCCAAGAACTGCTTTGTTGTAGCTTTTATGAACATCAAGGGCTACTTAGGGACAGACAAGACAGACAATGGAAAATTTTTTGTTAGAAAACAGGACAGCCAGAGTTACTATCAGTAAAGTAAAACCCTCCATGCCTCGCACCAGCAGGCACACAATCTCACACACACAGTAGGCTCACTGCACTCCCTGGGGTGGGACTGGGATAGCTCACTGCATCCCTGGGGTGGGAGTGGGATAGCTCACTGTATCCCTGGGGTGGGACTGGGATAGCTCACTGCATCCCTGGGGTGGGACTGGGATAGCTCACTGCATCCCTGAGGTGGGACTGGGGTAGCTCACTGCATCCCTGTGGTGGGACTGGAATAGCTCACTGCATTCCCTGGGGTGGAAGTGGGGTAGCTCACTGCATCCCTGGGGTGGGACTGGAATAGCTCACTGCACTCCCTGGGGTGGAGCATGCATAGCTCTTTCTCTGCCTACCAGGAGGACGGAGTTGTGCATTCTGTGGAAAAGCAGCAGAGGGGGTGGGGGTGGAGGGCTCTGAAGGGCTTCACTCAGCATCAACAGTCTGTTTAGAAGGATCATTAGTGTCCACTTGAGGAAACTCCACACATAATTGGAACTCAAGGCAAGGGCTGTGTCTTTGGTAGTCATGAATGTGTGGCAGCCAGGCTGACTGCGGAGAGAGAGTTTGAGGGGTTTTATGGCTATTTTAAGAGGCAATGCATCCAAATGGGGGAACCAAAAAGCTCTTTATGAAAACAAAATTGCTCTCCCTGGGCTTGAGAGTACATGCTATTGATTAGCTGGTAGAACACATGGGAGCGGTGGCTCCAGTCAGTCATTTTGCTCAGAATTCCTAGAGCCCTGACCCCAGAGCAATCAGCAAACATGGGCCTCCTGGAAGCCCCAGGAGGACTGGCTCTCCTCAAAGCTGCTGGCTCACTGCTCCAGGCATTTCCTAGGGCAATCTCACTTCTGTGATCAGGTGGGACTCAGTCACTCAAGGCCACCGATGACAGAGGGCCTCGCTGGTTCCCAGTTCTTTCTTCCTTCTTTTTTTTCTGTAAGGGAAAAGTGCCACCAAAGAAACACACCCTGAGAAGAGCCAAAGAAACACACTTTGGCCCTGGAATCAGAGCCAGTGAAAGAAATACACCCTGGTCCTAAAGCAGAGCCAAAAGGCTAAAAAGATCCAGTGAAAGAAACACACGTTAACCCTGAAACCAGAGCCAAATCTGACCCTAAACCTGAGCAGAAAACCAACCAATCCCTGAGCACAAGGCTAACAAGTCTGAGCTCAAGGATATGGGTCTCATTCTTCTATGAATGCAAAGAAGCATGGAAGGAGGCATGGGAGGACGGTAGACCTTCAGATAGTCCCTGACCCCCAAGTATGAGTCTGGTGATGGAGGGTAGAGGGAAATAGTGGCATCTGATATGCTACTGTGGAAAATAACTCAGCTATGGGGTACTATTAAATTCCAGGAGGACATGATGGGATGGGATGGTATGCATGGGGGTCTGAGGGAGGGCTTCCAGGCAGATGACTTCTCAGGAAAGATTCACTTAAAGGATGAGGAGGTAGAGCATGATAAGGCTTCAGGAGCCTGAAAGATGGCTTAGTAGGCAAGGTACTTGCCACCAAGCCTGAAGATCTGAATTTGATTCTTGGAACCCATGTGGTCCAGAGAGCTCACTGATTCCTCCACATTGTCCTTTGTCTACACCACACCACACCACACACGCACACGCACGCACACATGCACACACACACACAGAGGCACAGGCATACACACACAGAGGCACACACACACACACACAGACATAGGCTTAGACCCACATACATGCACACACACATAGCACACACAAGAAAAGGGAAGAGAAAAAAAAAAAAAGAAGACCCTTGCCTTTCTTCCCTTCTTCCTCCACTCTGGCTGGAATATAGATGTAATGACACAAATATGTACTCGGATCATGAGAAAGAAGCACCTGCTGAGGATGGGCCTGAGAGCCTGAGCCCCAGACTACTCACCCTGACAGACACAGGCTCTGCTGTCTTAAAGCACTGTGACATGCAGACAAGTTAATCCTGATCATCTCTGACATACCCAGGGAGTGATGGTCCCACAGGAACGGGCATGAGTCAGAGGTGTGGGAGGGTTTCCCTCCTTGCAGCTGCAGAGCTATCTTATCACGCTTCTAAGCAAGATCTCCATTGGAATCCCAGCTGGCCCACTTCACATGGAGAAAAAGAAGTGAAGTGACTGGATAATTGTTTACTTTGCTGGAAAGAAACTACTTCTTCAGGTAGGCCATGCTGGGCTGGCAGGATGGCTCAGTGGGTAAGAGCTCTTGCTGCCGAGCCTGACAACCTAAGTACTATCCCCAGAACTCGCATGGTATAAGTAGAGAACCAACTCCCTTAAGTTGTCCTCTGACCTCTACATACTGTGTACACACAAAAAAAAATAAACAATTCAAATTCACTTACTCAGTTCAGAGTTAGACTGACAGCACTGTGCAGGGCCAAAGCCCTTGGCGATGAGTTTAGAGGTACACACAGTCTCAGGGGTGACCCTCCAGGACTGTACACTGCGCCTGGCATTATCTGCAAAGGACTGGGTTTTACAGAAGCCCCTGGCCAAGCTAGCTGTGGACAATTTCTCAATGGATCCAGCACTGGGTTTGCTGCTTTCATAACTGTGCAACAAATACAACAGAGCACAAAGCAAGCTAGGATGCTAACTGGTTAATTTAATTTTATATAAGCCAGAGAGGGCCAGCAAGATGGCTCAGTAGGTAAAGGTGACTGTCACCAAGTCTGATGACCTGAGTCCGAGCTCTGAGACGCAGATGGTAAAAGGTGAAAACTAAGTCCCACTAGTGTCCCATGACATCCACATGTGACACAAACACGCATGTATGTGCACGCGCACACATGCACACACACAGGACACAAACTACAGAAATGTTTTTAAAAGGAGTAGAGAGAGATAAAGAAAAGATGTGCAATTTATATATTGTGTTTAACAATCTACCATTTAACTGCAATAGTAATTTTAAATCTCAATTCCTGACACACAGGAAAATGAATTAGTAATGAGTGTGTGTGTGTGTGTGTGTGTGTGTGTGTTTTCTTCCAGAGGACCCAGTTTGATTCTCAGCACCCACATGGCGGCTCACAGCCATCTATAACCCCAGTATCAGGAGATCTAACACCCTCTTTTGGGCTCCACAGGTACCAGGTATGCACATATTACACTGATACACATGCAGAAAAGGCAAACACTTATATACATGAAATAATAAAAGTTTTTTTTAAAAACGGGGCATACATTTAAAGAATATAAACATTTGGGTAGAGAGAGCTGGCTCCGTGGTTAAGAGCACTTCCTGTTCTTGTAGCGGGCCAGGGTACAAATCTCAACACCCACACTGGGCTGCTGTCAAGCACCTCTAACTCCAGTGCCAAGAGATCTGCTGCTCCCTTCTGGCCATTGAGGGCACCTGCATTCACGTGATAACTATAGACAAGCAGCAAGAGCATGTACACAATAGTCAACTTTGAAATGTTTTAAAGAAGAATAATCAAGGACCTGGGTCTACGCTGCCTCCTTTGGCATAGAGGACTGTGCATGCAGTGCCACTAGACAACAAGGATAAGGCTCTAAGTTCAGCTGTGATCAAGTCACCAGAAGAGCAAAGGCACCAAGGTCAGAGGGTCTGCCATGGAGTTTAAGAAACTCATTAAGCCAGTCGCCCTTGGATGTCCCAACCTGTAAGACAGGTTGAGACATCCAGCTTCCAGAGCTGCCAGGGCCTCCGAGACTGATTGGCATGTCACAGCACTTTGCAGGTGGTAAACAGCCTCAGTTCGAGGCTGGGTGGGTTTCCGGGGTTCCTTTGATGTTCTTTTCTGTCGGTTAGGAGTTTTTGCTTGTTTCTTTGATCTTTTGAGACAGGGTTTCACTGTGCAGTCCAGGCCAGCACTTGCCATCCTCCTGCCTCACACTGAGATTATACGTGTGTGCCACCTGATTGCTCCTTCACATATCTGGATCCTACCTAAGCCTCTCTCTGTTCACCTGACAAAGAAAGAGCACTGGGCACATGTGGGTTTTCTAAGCATAGCAACTAAGGAAACCCAAGGGGAAACACAGACTCCTTGGCTCCTCCTAAGAGTCTGCTTGATTGAGCTGGAGAGAAAGGCTGGGACTATGTATGGAGAAGCCTCAGCATGCTCTCCACAATGACAAGAGCCCAGCAGGGTCAAGGCAGGAGAGTTGGGGGAGACCACAGTCCCACTCCATCCTCCAGCATCCTCTGTGTGTTCACACCCTACTCTGAGAACCAGCATGGATGCTGGTACTTAATCTCAAATGCCCACATGGGCACTGAGTCTGAGACACATTTGGAGAATCCTAAAAATAACCTAATTAAACCATCAAGCTATCTGTTCATGAGAACAGAAGTGTGCCTGCTGGGCTGCTCTTGTCAGGAAGCAGGGAGATCTGAGATCATCTCAAGAGACAAACTCCAGCCCGCCTCCGCTGCCCAGACAGCTCCGGGTAGAGCAAAGGGCTGCCTGTCTCATTCCCAGCAAGACACTGCCACCAGCGGCACACTCGGGATGGCGGATAGGAAAGCGACAGTGCACGCACATGGTGGTCATGCTTCTTACCCACGTATTCTGAGAGGAAGACGACAAAGAACGGAGTGACCAGGTCATTAATGCCCTGGACGTAACCGCTGGCGGGGTGTCGGATGGCCCAGATAAAGAGAATCCTTTCAAAGATCTAGGGAGATGAGAGGGAAGGGCACATGAGTATTAACCTGCAGACACACTTCTTCCCCCACTTACCCATCTCACCACTTATCTTGGGATTAACAAAAAGCTTTAGGACAATTTAAAACACTGTGGGACAAAAGGCAAGAAATGCAGAGAGCTCGGAACACTCAAGCTGTCCTGCTCAATGCTCCTTGTCTTCTGGCTTTTCAGTGTCAGGTGACCACAGCATATACACAGGGAACAACAGTGGTGGGGATTACAAACTCCGCTGTTTCTGTTTCTGGGAGCAAGGTTTGCACACACCAGCTCTGCTGTCTGTTTCTTCCTTAATCACTAAGGAATTAATTAGAGGAAGCACTACTCTCCCTCTCCCCAGTGAGAGGGCGAAGAGGTCAAGATTCAGTTCTGGGGGCTGGAGACATGGCTCAGTGGTCAAGATCCCAGCACCCACAGAGTGACCTCCAACCATCAGCGATTTCAGGGGACCCAGTGCCCTCTGCTGACCTCCATGGACAGCAGGCATGCATGTAGTGGACACAAACACATGCAGGCAAAATACCCATATACATAGAATAAAACCTAAAAAAATAAAATAAAAATACAATTTTGTCTGACTAGGACTGCTGACAATAGATCTTCAAGGAAGTCCCTTTGTGCATGAGGATATAACTACACATGTGCCGGGCAAAGTCTGAGGAGATGGATCAGCAGGTAAAGACCTTCACCACTAAGCCTGGCAACCTGAGTTTGGTCCCTAAGACCCACATGGTGAAAGGAGCAAGTGATTCCTGACAACCTGTCCTTTGATCCCCACACACATGCCATGGCATGCACATGTTCCCCCAAAATAAACTAGGGCAATAACAATTGTCAGGACTTACAAGGGCACTTGCTACTCCCAGGTCTCAGCCTCAGCGGCTTTTACATGGCCAACTACACAGAAGCTGGCTGTTCACGTAAGGAGAGCACCGTGCCTTCAGGAGAACGAGTGATGCATGTACATATATCATACTAAGGTGCCAGACGGATGCAAAATAAAGAAGGAAGCCCGGCAGCCTGGGAGAACACAGGCTCTGCACTACTGAAGAAGTCTGTGGTAACTGCCCCATCAGGAGAAGGGGATGGACCTGCAGAGTCTCCCATAGCTCCTCCACTAGTGGGGCAAGTTGGACTCAAGCATCTGTCGGGTCTGCAAGCCTTTCAGTAGCAGGGCTGGGGTTAGCTCTCTGTTCCTCCATTGCTTAAAATGACAACCTCCCTGCACACAAGGGTGATGCAAGCAAAACTGAAGGGAATAGTTTGACTTTCCATCTTTGTACCCAGGGTCCACTACAGGAGATGCCTGTTAAGCTGCTATCCATGTCTCTAAAATGAGAGCTTGCATACAGGAGTGAAAGGCAAAGATCTGAAAGGCGAGGAGGAGAAAGTAGGAGATGGAGGAAAGGAATGCATTTCCACTTCATCCATACTGCATCTCATAGGTGAGATAATGGTGCCACTCCCGCAATCTTCCCTTTGGTGTTGAACACTATGATAGATCCCAGCAGGAGAGACATCCATACTTAAATGGAGCTATGGATAGTATCCAAAGCCACAGATTAATCTTCCCACTATCCCTCTCTATGATGAAGAAAATGGAAAGGTCACTTCAAAAGTCCTGACATCCCATGTCCTGACTATATGTAGCACAATTGCAAAGGGAGCTACTGTTCTCACAGGGTAAGCATCCTTGCTCAAAGCAAGCTAAAGGTCCCACTGGAACCTTCCATGTGCTTCACTAACTTGAGATCTTGAAATGTCACTACCAATGTCACTTCTGGGTTTCAAACCAAAGGAATTTAAAATAGGGTCTACAACATACTTGTATATCCATGCTCATTACTGCATTAATCACCATAGCCAAAAAGGATAAGCAACCCACATGCCCACAATGTGTTACATTTGTGTATGGAATATTTAAAAGGTCAGAGGAAGGGTGGAGGGGTGACTCAGTGGGTAAAGGTGCACCTGTTGACAAGACCGATGACCAGGACCCACACAGTGGGAGGAGAAGACCAACCTTTGTCAGGGGTCCCTGCCTCCACACACATACCATGGCATGCCCTCCACAACAGAAACAGATAAATGCAATAAATCTGTAATGAAGGCACTTCTGACACTGAATTCAGCAGGACACAAAATGATAAATACTGTATAATGCTACTTATCTGAGGTACCTAGAGTGGTTACATCCACAGGCAAGAAATAGAATGATAGTGGCAAAGGAAAGGGGACTATATTTAATGGATACTAAATTTAACTTAGGAAAACTGGAAAAATATCTGGAAACAGATGAAGGTACATGACCACAGAATAAGCCAACACATGTAATGCCCTGAGTTAGGTACTATTTTTTGTTTTTTTTTTTTTTGTTTGTTTGTTTGTTTGTTTTTTCGAGACAGGGTTTCTCTGTGTAACAGCCCTAGCCATCCTGGAACTAGTTCTGTAGACCAGGCTGGCCTTGAATTCAGAGAGCCTTCTGCCTCTGCCTCTGCCTCTGTGCCTCTGCCCCTCTGCCTCCTGAGTGCTGGGATTAAAGGTATGTGCCACCACTGCCCAGCAAGTTAGGTACTACTAATTACCCATTGTGCACAAAAAAGGAAGAGGATGGTACATTGATACTACACATATTTCATCACAATAATAAAAAAAAAAATTCATCATCCTAGCTTTAAGAAGCAGGGCAAACCTGGGAACAGGATTTTAAAGTAGGATGCTGACTGCCTCCAGCTTTCGGTTGGTACCCAGGCTGAAAGGCAGGTGAGACTTCATGAGGCCGTGGACATGAGGTGCCAAACAGGAGCCACTGGACCCAGGCAGAAGGACCAGACAGCAGGGACCCACTCACCTCCTGGACAAGCGGCTGCTGGAACAATGGGATGAGAGGATTTGTCCTTGGAATGTCAATGTGAATCTGAAAAACAAAACCCATGGTCCAGTTAGATCTACCTGTGAAGACTATGTCCCCATGTAAGCCACAGTGCAGATAGGAAACACCCCACAAACAAGCCACTTAATCAAACAGAACAGGCTTCTCACCTGAAGTAGCCCACAGCTTTCCTCTGGTTCTCTGGGTTAAACCTAGGAGGGTTACCTGTTTACCCAACATGACCAAGCGTGTACCCCTCTTTCAGTATCTTACTCATCCACAGTTCCTAAGGGTCTGGTATGGTGGTACATGCCTGTATTCCCAGCGCCCAGAAGGCTGAGGCCAAGGTCTGAGGCTATCTTGGAAGACAATGTAAGTTCAAGGCCAGCCTAGACAACCTAGTGAAACCCTGTCTCAAAAACCAGCTGGGTGTGGGTGTAATAGTAATTACAGCATTCCTATAATCCCAGCACTTGAGATATAGAGGCAGGAGTTTGAGGCCAGCCTGGTTCATGTAGTGAGTTAGAGACAAGCCAGTGATACATAACAAGGCCCTATCTAAACAACAAACAAAACCCACAACTACAGCTAAGACTAAAAAGGGCCCTAACTGTGGCTAAAAATGTGCTAGAAAAGGAACAGGACAGGACTGCTCATTAGGTCAGGGGGTGAGGAAGTCAGGACAGCCTTGAGTAACTAGAGTTGAACCGCTCACTACTGCCACCCAAGAGGTCACTATAGTTGGTTGGCTCTGAGGCCTTCCCAATGCCCAGGCTGACGTCCTAAAGATAGTGTCCACATCAAAAGAGGCCCCTTTGTTTCTGGGGACAGCCGCAGCAGCTGTCTGCTGCCCACCTTTCCCAGCTCTGCCATCCCTCCTCCTGTGAGAGTGCTGCTGGCAGACACTTTGGCAGGTCTGAGGACTGAATGGACACTGTTGCAGCCACAGGGACACAATGATGCCACAGTCAAGAGGGGACTGATCACTTCTGAGCTTTCTGTCTCTACTGTGTGTCCTCACGGGACGCCCTGTGGTCAACAGCACCTTTGTTATCATGGAGCATTAGGAGTGTAAGCCTCACCTCAAGTCCTACACGTGCTGGTAATCCAAGGGGTGTGTGTGTGTGTGTGTGTGTGTGTGTGTGTGTGTGTGTGCACATCTGTACCTGTGTCAGTGTATGTGGTGATCTGTACACACATGAAAGATGAGAAAGCACCACCACTGACCAGTGCTAAAAAGCACATCTATCTAAAGATATAACATATCCATAGCCCCAACAACCAGGAAGCTGAGGCAGGTTCAAGGTCACCCTGAGCTATAGAGTGATCAGGAGTGGCTCAACAGTTAAGAGTGCTTGCTGCTCTTCCTGAAGACTCAAGTCTGGTTTAAAGACCCATGTCAGTCGGGCAACTCAACAGTTTCTAACTCCAGCTCCAAGCATCCAACACCCTCTTCTGGCTTCCATGGCACCTGAACTCATGTGTGCATAGCCACACACATACACATAGATAAGAGTGAAAATAAAATTTAAATATACACAATGCACACATACATATGCAAAGTAAGTTCTATTTTAAAATGTCAGAGTCAGAGCTGCTGAATGGGAAGAGTCCCAGACACACAGGACATCTAACTGTACAGGAGGTCCCAGGAGCACGGATGCCAGCAGGCCACAGGGGGCACACCTGTCTGTAGGTGTCCTGGTGATGCTCCTCATTCCGAGAGTCATAATACTGCTCAATGAAGCCAAAGTACTCCTCCCGCTTCCTCTGCAGGGTCAACTTCCGCCGCTCGGTGTTTGCCGGAAGATAGCCCTAAAGACAACACAGCTGTCAGAGGGTGGCTAGAAACCACCAAGGGACAGAAAGGAGATTGCCAAGGGACAAGGCAGGTCCCTTCTGGTTCAGGTCACCTGGCGCTGGCCCCCTTCTGGTTAGTGGACCCTGGGTGGGCAGATGAAGAGATGCCAGCTTCCCAAACTTGCTTGTTGCTTTGGTCGCACACTTTATACTCTTTATACTGTGGGGCTCCCGGAGTTGGCGCGGCTGAGCATAAAATGGAGGTCAGCAGGAGGGAGCTGGAACTGAGTCACAGCCTCCAAGGGAATTAGAAGGATCTGTCTACTTGTATGACACATCTTGGTAAGGACTACACATTCTTTTCCAGTGTAGCATTGGAAACCATACTCGGCAAGCTGCACAGTTAAAAGGCTGGGACAGAACTGGCAGCCTGTTCTCATTTCCAGTCTGGATCCCATTCTTACTCGTAAGTCTCCTGTCCCCTTTCTGTTTGCCAAATTCATTCTAAGCATTTGAACTTACCAGGAGTGGCAGTGATTGCACAGCTGTAAGACCAGGGGTAGGGGACAGTGACAAGAGACCCTCCCTCTCAAAGGCATTATGTAGTGAATTCCATAGTGAGTGCCTGGAGACCTGGCACGGGGGCTTGTTGAATCTGGGGCATGCACACAGCAAACAGGCCTTTGGACACCTCTACTGAATGAGGGAACAGATTTCAAAGGCTTAAATCAAGCATCACAGAGCATGAGCTGCTGGTGAAAGTGAGCCCAGTCTGGCTTCTGAGAGGCCGGCGAACTGACTCTTCAGAGCTGTGAGATGGATTTCAAACACTCAGGAGTATCGATGCTTGCTCCAAGCCAGCACTGGGATCCTCCTGTTTAGCTAGATGCCTCCCTCCCCACTGTTAAGAAAGTGACCAGAGCAGCCAGCATCTGGCCCCCACGTATGGCTAGAGAATATGCTCACCTACAGGCATGGGAATAAACGCTCAAGCATGTGTCTCTTCTGGCACAGCCTCACCACTGTACCAGGCAGAGGGACTAGAGAAGTCTATTGTTTAAGATCAACATGCCCAGACCAACCTTGGCAGGCAGAGGGCTGTGTGAGGCCCATGCTTCTCCTCCTGGTAGGTGGAACTCACCGACAGCAGTCTCCAGGTGACCGGTCGAACTTCCCTGGGAACGCCTGGCCAGCTCCACTTCCTCAATTCATCTACAGACAGAAGACAGCCTCTCTGAATGAGGTCTTCCCACAGAAGCCCAAAACAAACCTTGGCCAGATGCCTCCTACCACTGACTATCATCACTACCACCGTCACCTGCTAAAACAAGCAGGGAAAGGCTCCAGACCACAGCCCGAGCTGCAGGAGGCCAAGGACACCTGCAACTTTCATCATCTCAGGAAGCCATAGTCGTGAGGAGGAACCCACGGAGCTGGCCTGGCCTAGCTGCCTTAAGAGGCATGCATCATAGGCTTTTCAGGTTAAGAGTCCATGGCTCCTGAGGCACTGTGAGCCTTTCAGTTCCTGAGAGACCAAGGCACTCCCTCAGGCATAAGCATTCAGGCTGCCTGTGTATCTCTGTGTTTCCTAGATGTCAGAGAACCATACAGAAGTCTGACAGGACAAGTGGTCTAGACATGAATCTCATGTACCCTATGTAGCTCTCAACATAGCTTACAAACATTATTGTATCCTGGCAACCACCACTGCATTCTGTTTCTGACAAGGGAATAGAAAATCTAATTGCTCACAATAAACTTGTCACAGCCCTAGTCCTGCTGTGATCCCTCCAACCCAACCTGGTCAAGACTCATTTCTCACTATCCATATCGGGCAGCCCTGGCCCAGTAAGTAAGTGTTGGTTCTTATAGTGTGGGCTTATGTGAGAACCCTTGGAGGGAGCAGAGACAGAGATGGAACAAGTAAGTGCCCCACAGTCTATACAGGGACCCCGTGACAGCCACATTGACTCTGGTCCCTAATCTCTGATAACAGACTTCTATCTAAATACCTGTGTATCGCTGCACCACATCACTGAGGGCTGCTAGAAAGTAAAAGGAGGAAGAGGATAGAAGCTTCCATTCTCTGAGGTCTGCAATCACCACGGCGCCTACCTTGCCCAGGGCTCTGGGGAACTCACCTAAATCAGTGTTGTGGCTGGAAAGCAGCTGCCGAAACTTTTCTAGACGGGTTTTCTCCCGGACTGTCATTGGAGGGGCCCCAGAAGCATTCTGGTCTGAGATCCGGGCAACAAGGGGGATGATGGGCCGGAGAGGGAGAGACTGCTGTTTGTGGAGTGGGTTCCTCAGGCACGTGTCACCTGAGGGGATTTGAAGACAGAGAGATCACGGATCGGATCAGGCACCTTAGGGCCTGCTCAGGTATGGCACCTTCTCCAGGGCAAGCAGCTGGGCCTGAGGTACTGCCTGAGGATCCAGCTCAGGGGCCGCAAGAGGATGAGGCCCAGCAGGGCTCTGCTCCCATGCAGAGGACAGCTGTGGCCAACTGACTGTCCTGGAGCCAGCCAACTCCAGATGTTGCAGGAACTTCTGAGAATGTGTGTGGTGAAACCAAGGAGACTCCTTCTACCTTAACCTGTACCTCTCCTCAGTGCCTCGGGGGAGTGTGGTGGCCACGCAGCCTAAGGCAGAGAGTTTTTCACCCCTCCAGGTGCCACAGTGTGCATGAAAGGCTAAGTCCTGACCCTGCAGAGCACACTGGCTGCCCTCTACAGCCAGGCACAGCCACAGCCTGCCTTTGGCCCACCAGGAGCCAGCCCTTTGAGGTGGTAAGTTCTGGCTTCAGGCAACCCAGTGTGAGCACTGATCCCTCTGTGCCTCACATTCCCAACTCAAATGAACCAGCTTTGGATTCTGCCATGTTACCACTCATACAGTAGAAGTACCAGGAGCTGAGCTCGGTGTTCTGCTGTTGAGGTTTAATGGGGGGAGGAGAGGGTCTGCAATGCAGGACTAGTACTTACTTGCTATGTAGAAGGCGCCATGCTGTCCATTTCAGCATGCTCTCTCGAATGACCTATATGATGCCTGCTAAGAATGTATAGCTATTTTCAGAAGAATGAACAGAGGCTGAGGAAGCTGAGGTGATGCCTTGGAGCTGTCTGACTCCTCCACTCTTTGTAATTAATTGCCAAAAGAATTTTGGGGGACAGCCCTCTCAAGGCTGGGTCACATTCTTCAATATCTGGGCCTTAAAATTCAAACATTAAACATTTAATAGGAACTAGCCAGCATTGCAGAAGCTTGCGATAGCTACCATAGGCACCTGGCTGGGATGCCCATGGTGACAAGTGGGGCCTAGAAAAGGCAACCTTGCAGCAAAGCTTAGACAGATGGGAACCTCTGGCATCCGCTGTTTACAGACAGAAGCATACTGAGGGAACCTCCACAGGGGGACATGTGGAGGACCCGGCTACACAGGGTAGCCTGCAGGGATCATGGCAGGGGCCTTCCTGTCGCTGGGAACCTCAGTCATAGCTTGAGCCACCTGGTCAATCAAATGCTGAATGCCTGTCTCAAACTGCCACTGTGGGTTTAAGCTGGACCCTGTGTCAGCAAAGGCAAATGACAGAATTACAGTAAAGATCCTATAGCCAAGCTGCATGCCCTCGTGCAAGGTCTGAGCTGTGAAAAAAACTCAGAGCCTGAGGTAGGCCACACTCTGAGACTTTGACATCTTCTGTCCTTTATGCCCATGACCTGTGAGCCTTTTTAAACGTAATCAGGACAAGAACAATCCCCTGCCCAGCCAATTTGCTTGCATAAAACCCTTTGGAGCAACATTAAGCACAGTAATGAGTCCTTAAATGTACACAGAAAGTCTCAGACATCCAAAGCCACCATCACCCCAATAGTAACTGAGACTAGTTTCCCAGATTAAGAAAACAAAACAGCCAGGTGGTGGTAGTGCAGCCTTTAAGTCCAACACTTGGGAGGCAGAGGCAGGTGGATCCCTGTGAGTTCAAGACCAGCCTGGTCTACTAAATGAGTTCCAGGACAGCCGGGGCTACATAGAGAAACCCTGTCTGTGATGCTTGGGGGGTGGGGGGATACAGAGCAGAGGGGTGGTGGTAAGAAAACAAGACAAACAGATCTTTCCTCCCTGCCACCTTGTGGGCAGTGACCATCAGGTGGCTACGACCTGGTCCTGCAACTCATGCTTTTTGCATCACAGAAACAGGGAAAAGACTTCCAGAGGTGGGCAGCTGTTCCCCAGGGCTGAGGAGGTAAACCATTTGTGAACTCTGTTACTGATACCTTTAAATACATTTAGTCGGTACTTGCAAATCTGACCAGGCCTAGAGAAATATGAAACAGCCTCCCCAAGGAAAAGCTGTGGGTGCCACTACAGGGAAAGGGAGAAAACCGGAAGAATGGCAGGGAATGTTTCTATCCAGGAAGTAAAGGCCCAGTGGGGAAGGCAGGGACAGCCAGTGACCAGTTAGGCTTGCTGGTGCTCTACTTCAGGCTTGAGGGTTTTTCTTTTATTGTGTTGTTATTGTTGTTTTAAATCGTCCCATGAAGATCTGTGCAGGAACTTCTTTTTCTCTAGCTGCCCTCTACTGAGAGGCTGAGGCTATGGGGACAGGAGGGACTCACTGGAGTTTCGGGACAGCTGGGCCTCACTGCTGGACTTTATGACCTTGTAGCTGGCAGGGACGTCTGATGTTGTCGACTGCGACCGTTCAGGTTTTACCCTCAGCTTGCTGTGGTTCTCCAGGACTTGGGCCGCAGTTGCCAAAGCCACTTTCGAGTTCAGAGTTTGGAAAGGAGGTGAGGAAAAGTCCTCTTCCTCATCATCGCCTATGTCCCAGGCATCACTGGTATTCCGGGCAAACTCATGGAAACTAGAGGCCTTCTTGTTCTTCAGAGGAGCTGAGTTGACTTTCGACCGTTCTTTGATGAAGCTTCAAGAAAGGAGATGGCATTACCGAGCAGTGTGACACACCTGATCACCTTCATTGCATTTGTCATACTATAATATGATCAACTGCCCCCCCACCAGAGCAAACTGCCCATAGCCACTACTCATCAGGAGCCTCCCACAGATGCAGAGCCAGGGTCATCAGCTCTCCACATTCTCTATTTCTCAGCATCCTTCAACTCATGAAACCATCCAGAATCTAAGCTAAGAGAAGTGAGGCAGCCACACCATGCTCATAGCTGCCCCATAGCCCCTCCTGGTCACTGTGCCCTGAAGGTTCCAGGTAGCAGGGCCTCCCTCTGCTTGAGTCACTGTGTGACTAGGTGGACCACAGCCTCCCCTCATCCTGGCCCCACCCCACTTTGGACACATAAGCAAGAACAAAGCCTTAACTGTAGAATCCACTGAGGTATCAAGTGGATTTGTTACACCATCATAAGCTGGAGTTGCCATTAGAATAGGATGCAGGCTGCTGGCGGGGATGGGATGGGGGGGGGGGGTTAACTGTCCACACACAGAGCAGTAAGTCTCAGGATGAAAAGACTCTTCTTTCTACCCTGCCTACAACACAGTCTGAGCCCAGTGATGCTTGGGGCTCTCCCAACCCCTGCATTTAAAACACAATTAACTTGAGACCTCACAGAGGAGAGCAGCCATGTGAAAGTCTACAATACATGGAAACTGGACTACAATGGGTTAAAAACATCAGCCGGAAGAGCTACTGACCCCATTCCTAAGGTGCTCTCTCCAGCGAACCCACACCTCCTCAGGCACCTGCACTCATGAGCACATACTACCACACACACACTCTCTCACAGAGTCACACATACACCTGGTCACACACAGAGACACACACACAGTCACACACACACACACACACACACACACACACACAAGTCTCACAGAGACACACACTTATTCACACACAGCCACACAGAGACAAATACAGTCACACAGCCACAGAGAAACCACACATAGTCACACACAGACACACACACATACACACACACAGTCTCATACACACAGTCACACAAAGACACACAGAGTCTCACACACACACACACAGTCTCACACACACAGAGACATACACACATACATAGTTACACAGACACACATAGCCACACACAGCCACACACACATAGTCACAGAGACACACATGCACAGCCACGTACAGTCACACCACACAGTCTCTCACAGACACAGCCACATCACACACAGTCACACACACAACACCACACACACAGAATTTAATAAATAAATCTTTGGGGCTAGAGAGACAGCCTAGTGGTTAAGAGCACTTGCAGAGGACCCAGGTTCCATACCCACATGGTGACTTACAACCATCTGAACTCCAGTTTCAGGGCTCTGATACCCTCTTCTGACCTCTTCAGCCACCAAACACAAAAAATACATTCATGGAAGCAAACACTCATACACATTTGAACAAACAAACAAAAAAAAACTTTAGAAAATGAATTTTAAAAAGAACAATGAAATCCAGGTAGCAATAAAAACACAATAAATGATACATTTGAGTGAGACTTAGTGAAGGACATTTTGAAAAAGAGTGGCCATAGGCTATATTGTTCAGAACACAAAAAAAAAAAGCTGTTGTTTTATCATTTGACAACACTGCCCTAACTTCACTGCAACAGCTGGTCTACCAGTAGAATTGTTTTGGTTGACATATGGTCAATACATGTTTAGGAGGACATGTAGAATAGAATTATATTAGAAATATATAGCATTGGTTAACTGATGTAAAGTGACATTCAAACAAACCCAGTCTCCTTGAAGCCTCATAAGGCTTCATATGAACTAGTGCTGTAACCTGGGAATGGGACCAGCCACACAGTATCATTCAGAAGCCCCATCATGCCAGCAAGTGGCTGATGGGGCTGCTCAGCAATAACACTATTTTTTATTTGAGCTATAAAAAAATTATTGTGGGCGATATTGCCACTAATAGTAATAATTTAGCAAATTGAAGTCAGTATCCACCGACAGGAGATGACTTAGTGTGCTCATGAAGCCTAGACAATTAAAGACCGGATGTAGCGGCTTCTACTATGATGGAGATTAACCACGTGGTGATTAATGATGGTCTGGGGCTGAGCAGAGAAAGCAATCAAAACGTCCAAACAAAGGTGCTAAAACAAGGGCGATAAATGTTTTACGGCAACAATCCAGGCTTGTAAAACAGTCTGGTGCTCTGCTCATGGTGCCCCCATGTTTGAGACTATTAAAACTGAGCCAGCACATACCTGAGAAAGGAAAGCCATTAATCAGAGCCAATTCATTCTGATTTGTGAAGCCAAGTGAAGTTGATTGACAGCATGACTCTGTGAAGACACCAGGAAGTACCCTGGGTTTTACATTAACAAGTGAGAAAACAAAGCTATTAAGAGTTTTCTGAGCAGTCTGGGGCAGTCTGAAGATCTGCCTCAATACAGTACGAGGGGAAACTCAGTTGATGGGCACAGTAAAGTGAGTGACCAGGACCCAAGCATAAAATCTGAACATAAAAGTGTACTCACTGCCCATAGAATGGGTGGGTGGTAGATTTACATGTTAACTACCTGGCTCTCTGATAATTATAAAACTAGCTAGATGAGATCTACTGAGATGCTTTTGTGACAGTAAACAGAACACTCAACCGCAGTGCTTAAATGGCACACACAGAGCATGCTGTCAGGCCATTGGGCAGACACCTCCATTCTCTGGCCTCTCCCTAGGAGCTGAAGTCAACTGTCACAGCCCTGGGAATCTCACCTCACTACCAAGTTCAAAAGGAAGCAGGAGGTATAGCTGCTAAAAGTTCCTCCTTCATAGAATTCATATGTTTCATTCATACTGTCTGTCTGTCTCATTAAAAAAGAGCTTCCATGGGGCTGGAGAGAAGGTTCAACTAAGGGTGATAACTGTTCTTGCAGACGACCTGAGTTGACCCAAGTCTGGTAGTTGAACAACCCCCTCTTCTGGCACACACATACACGCACACACACACACACACACACACACACACACACACACACACACTTAAGATAAAAATCTTTTTTAAGAGTTTCCATGAATCCCACCCATTGGTAAGCCCACCCTAAACTAGTCATCCAGGTTACCGCAAGACTATGGACTAAGGTTTACACTAATGCTAACACCTTCCCTAAGAGCATGGCTGCTTACTCAACATCTGAATACAATTAGAGCTCTTGCACAAGGAAGCAGTGGGGGAGGGATAGATTGCCATGACAAGTAGGTTATCAAAACTGCCTGCCACACAGACAACGCACCGGAACCCACAGAAAACAGAATTTACACTATGTAATGGCATAACTTTACAGAAAATGAAGCACTTGAGCATGCGTGCATGTGCGTGCGTGCATGCGTGCGTTCATGCAGCAGAGTGCTGGCCTACTGTGTGCAAGGCCCTAGAGAGGAGGAGAGGGAGGAAGGGGTAAAGGGGAAAAGGCTTAAGGCATATGTTGGTGCATGCCCATAATCTCAGCTCTTGGGAGGCTGAGGCAGGAAGGATCCAACTGCAAAACCAGTTTGGGTTACACAGTAAGAGCCTATCTCAAGACTCATTCCTTCATGGGGCTGGAGAGGTGGCTTATTCTTACAGAGGACCTCAGTTTGGTTCCCAGCACCCACATGGTGGATCACAACTACCTGTAACTCCAGTTCCAGGAAATCCAATGCTTTCTTATGCACCCACATGGTACATACACATGTATATGTTCATGTACATAATACACTCAGGCAAACACACATACATACAAGTTATTATTATTTTTAAAACTGCCCCTTTGCCAGGCAGTGGTGGCTCATACCTATGATCCCAGAACTCGGGAGGCAGAGGCAAGTGAATCTCTGAGAGTTCGAGATCAGCCTGGTCTACAGAGTGAGTTCCAGGACAGCCAAGGCAACTCTGAGAAACCCTGTCTTTAAAAAAATAAAAAACAAACAAACAAACAAAAAAAACCTTCCCCTTTGGCCTGAATCCCTGCCTGCCCTTAAAATCCCAGCACTCTGGAGGCAGAGGGAAGTAGATCTCTGTGAGTGAGTTCAAAGCCAGCCTGGTTTACACAATGAGAATCTTCATAGCTCCTGGTCCATCCATGGCAGAGAAGCAGATGGAAAATTCAGACATGAAACATCACCTCAGCAACTGGAGGAGGTGGTGGGTGAGGGAGAAGACAGTGAGGGCTAAGTCTTGACTTACTTTTTGGTGAGCCGAGGATCCAGAGGAGGGTGCTGAGCTCCATACACAGGCTGAATACTAGAAGCAGGGAACACAAGTTTAGCGAGGAAGCTAAATGTGCCAGTCGAGAACCTGATGTCACACCAAACTCATGGGACTTGGAAAAATAGCCTGCTTCCAAGAATGACACCTAAGTCATTCCAAAAGACAGTAGCCTACACTTCCAGATGGCCCTAGATGATGCTCATTTTCCCTTAGCATTCCCACCCAGCAGGCAGTCCCATCCAAAGTAGCACGGGCCCAGTGAGATGCCTTGGCTGGTGTTTGCTGACCACATCCAACAACCAGTCTAACTTGGTGAGTGTCAGCGCATCTGTAATCCCAGTATTCTCACAAGAAGATGGAAGAAGACAAGAGAATTGCCTGGAAGGTCACAGGCCAGCTAGCCAGGAATATTCAGCATGGCAGGACAAAAGACCCTGCCTCAAGAAGGTGGAAGGAAGAAGCACCTCCCAGAAGTCTCTCTGACTGCACATGCTCCTTAGCACCATCCTCCAACACACAGTAATCATAAATGACATAAAATAAACAAGGCAGCATGAGAGACTGCAAGCTTTAGAGCCAGTGAGAGTAGAGTTCCAAGGCCACTGCTGTCCACAAACACCACGGTCTCTTTGAGGCTACTTTCTCACGGTAAAATGAGGACAGTAAAGCAACAATATACATCAAGGGAAGAGTGGATTATACTGTGCCTAAGCATTTCTGTCGTATAACTTCCTGGGAACATGTAAACAAGCATCTCTTCTCCTGGGACAGGACACCAACAACGGACCAAAGAAACCATCCCATCCCAGTCCAGCTTGGAGAGCCAGGGAGTTATTGGGCATCACTCAAAGGCCACAGCAGCAGCATTGACAGCCACGCTAGCATGGACCACTCCTGAAAGTGGCATTCTGGCAGCACTCTGCTCAACTGGCAGGCTGCTCAGCTGGAGACAGTTCCCTTTTCCTGGCAATGTCTTATTGGTTTTGTAACTGTGGGAGGGGCTTGTGACTCCTGCAACTTTCTTACCTTTTGAGAGTTTGTAAGTTGTGTACTTCCCAGAGTTTTAAGGCCCACATGGCTCCTGTTCAACGGGGAAGCATACAGAGCAACCTCTATTAAGATCTGCTTAAATCAGTCAGGCGTTCTCAGCACTTGGGAGGCAGAGGCAGGTAGATGTCTATGAGTTTGAAGTCAGCCTTATCTACGTAGAAAGTTCTAGGCCAGCCAGAGATACACAGTGAGATCCTGTCTCAAAAAAAAAAAAAAAAAAAAAGTGTATTTGTATGTGCATGGGTGTTTTGCCTGCATCTAGGTCTGTGCACCTTATGGCAATGGTGGCTAAGAGCTTGAGAGTGGCCAGCGCCTGACAATAACTGGTTGTCCAGGAACTGGAAGGTGGATAGCTCAGAAACATACACACACATAGGAGTCATTGACTCCTAATGATATTCTGCTATACTCATAGATCAGTGCTAGCCCAAATGTCATCAGACAGGCTTCCTCCAGTAGCTGATGGGAGCAGAGACAGAGACCCACACTCAAACTTTAAGCAGAGCACACGGAACCCCCAAGGAAGAGGGGGGAAGGATTGTAGGAGCCAGAGAGGTTGAGAACACCAGAACATGACCCACAGAATCAACTAGGCAGGGCTGATGGGGGCTCAGACACTGAAGTGACAATCACCAAGCCTGCATGGTCTGCTATAGATCCTGTGCTATGGTTGTTGAGCTTGGGGTGTTTGTGGGAGTGGGGGTCTCTGACTTTTTTGTCTGCTTGTGGGACCCTTTCACTCCTACTAGGTTGCCTCATCCAGCCTTGATATGAGGGTTTTTAGTCTTATTGCATCTTATGCTGTGTTCAGTAGATGTCACTGGGAGGCCTGCTCTTTTCTGAGGTAAAATGGAGGAGCAATGGATTGGGGGGAGAGGGGCTGAAGGGAGCGGAAGGAAGAGATGCTGCAGTCACAATGCATTTTATGAGAGAAGGAGTTTTTAAAAGTATGTCTTCCCACTTCAAATGATTTAATTAAAAAAAAAAAAAAACAAAAATCAAAAAACCACAGCTAGGCAATGATGGTGCAACAGAGGCAGAGGTAGTTTGAGGACTGCAGAGCCTGCCTGGTCTACTGGGCAAGTTCCAGGACAGCCAGAGATACATAGAGAAACCCTGCCTCAAAAACAAACAAACAAATAAATAAAAATTTAAAAAAAAAAGAAAGAAAGGACGACAGACAGGAGGGAGGAAGGGAGGGAGGGAGAAAGGAAGGGAAGGGAGGGAGGGAGAAAGGGAGGAAGGGAGGAAAGGAGGAAGGAAAGAAGGTGCTTCACAGGTGTGCCCAGCCATTGGGGTATAGTTGATTCCAGATGCTGTCAAGATGACAACCGAGAATAGCCTCACAGATGCAGAACTGTAGCATAATAACGCCATATGTTTTGTAAAGCTAATATAATTAAGCTGTGCCCACAGATTTGCATCTATGATACAGGGACACACTAGGAGCAGTGCTTCAGTGCTGAGGCTACAGACTGGGGCAGATCTCAGGGAGAGCACTTTACCTGCAAACCTTGTGCCTTTTTGACAGATATCACTTTAGAGGACACAAACCAAGCAATCTTGAAAGCCTTGAGAGGCTTGGCTCAGCCCAATAGGTGGTGAGCAGGCTGTGGGTAAGGCTGAACACGTGAGAACTCAACCCTGAGACACACTGCCAGGAGACCCTGGCTTGCTTCCTCTCTCCCTGTTTATAGTTAATCCTTACCCAATGTTTAGGAAGTACAACAGGTTTACCAAGTGTCTCTTTCTGGGCTTTTTTTTTTTTTGGGGGGGGGGGTTCTCTGTGTGGCATTGGAGCCTGTCCTGGAACTGTAGACCAAGCTGGCTCAAACTCACAGAGATCACCTGCCTCAGCCTCCTGAGGAGTGCTGGGATTAAAGGTGTGTGCCACCACTGCCTGGCTAGACTGATTTTTTTTTTCATGTATCTGCCTGTGTGAGCATGTATGTACCACGTGCATGCAGTGCTCTCAGAGGCTGGAAGAGGGAGGGCATAAGATCCTCTGCGACTGGAGTTAAAGACAGTCTGAACAGCTGGGTGCACAAGTTGGCTGTTCTTACCTGCCACACTAGGAGGAGAGGTATTCAGGAGTTGGGATGACTCCTCAGAAAAACTGGTTCCTTGTCCCCAACACTGGCTGTCCCCAATACTGGCTGTCCCTTGACCTGAGAATGTGAGGAGTCGGACCAAAAGAGGCCAATACTAGGCACCTTGTAGCTTCAAGAAGCCCAGGTAGCCCATGGAGCCACCTTGCAAGCCATGGCTGCCCATCCAGCACCAGACTCCACTCCAAACAGGTCCTGATGTGATGGAGACTCCCTTACGTCAAAAATGGCAGCTGTAAGCCAAGCAGTGGTGACACACACTTTTGATCCCAGAACTCCTCAGGAGGCTGAGGCAGGCAAATTTCTGTGAGTTCAAGGCCAGCCTGGCCTACAGTTCCAGGACAGGCTCCAAAGCTACACAGAGAAACCCTGTCTCGAAAAACAAACAAAACAAAACAAAGCAAAATAGTATGAACATCATGTGGGTACTGAGAACTGCGCAGGCGCTCTGTGAGATCAGTGAGCACTCTTAATCACTGAGCCATCTCTCCAACCAAGTTCACCCAGCATTCCGCTTCTTGTGACAGGAAATCCTGAAGATGTTTTCAAATAAGAACACGGGTGAATCAATCATTTCCGCATGATACCATATTACTTTTTAAGAGGACCATATAAGATGTTAGATATCATTGTGGCAGTTTCAAATGAAGTGTCCACACTGTTTTACTTCACAGGAAATCTTCTCCTGTGTGAGTCTGAGTTCTAAACATTCTGAACCTTTTCAGCTGTAAGAATGCTGACTCCCTGAACCTCTCTGGAAGACTACAAAGCAATTCATCCTATAGGCTGCTATAGAAGCACTAACCCTGAAAGGCTAGGTGTGTGTTCCTGGCATTTCCTAGGCAGTGGAGAAGGACAGGAAAAAGCCTAGAGGTACCAGAGTACTGGGAAAGTCTGGCTCACAAAGAGGGAGAGGGAGGCTTAGACAAAAACAAAAATTAAAATACAACCACAGACACCCTGGGGGCCATGAGTTTGCATTTTAACATTTTCAGATTCTCGGACTCCAGCATTTGAACTCTCAAGTCCAAAGCCCTCATCATCAAACATTAAATGTCAAACAAGGCAGGAGGTTCCCACCAGGCCAGTCAGGATAGCTGCCTGAATAAAACAGTAAGATCCTTGGATTCGCTCAAGAAAAGGCAGACCTCATTGTACAAGCCTGAAGGCCAGAGGCCACCATGGCTACAAGGAAGAGGCTCTTCACTCACAGACTATTTCTCAAAGATGTTGCCTGACTACAAGAGCAAGAGAGCAAAGGTGTCTATTGACGACTAGAGAGATGGCTCAGTGGTTCACAGTGCTGACTGCTCTTCCAAAGGTCGTGGGTTCAATTCCCAGAACCCACATGGTAACTCAAAACCCCATTTCCAGAAGACCTGACACTCTTTTCTGTCCCAGATAAACACATGAAGTAATTTTTTTAAAAAACACTTAATATAATAATTCACCTATAAGCCTGTGCTAACCAGGCCCCTTAAGAGCCCCACACTCAATACCTGGGAAAGCTGGTCTCCATTATACTTTTAAATAAAATTTCATCGTTGTGGAGGGGCTGGGGGGGCAGTACACATCTATAATTTTGGAACTTGGGAAGCTGAGGCTAGCCTTAGCTACAGAGAGTACACCAGGCCAACCTGGACTATAGTATGAGATTGTTTTGCTTGAAGTATAAAAGCATTCTACCAGTGTTCTGGTCCAGTTAAGACATAGCAGCTGGGGAGTCAGTGACCGTTGTCTCTCCCTATGTGAACATGGTGCAGACCAAAGCAAACTCCGTCCCAGGTCCTAGGAGCCTACAGAAAAGTGGTGGTTTCTGGAGCCCCCAGGGAGGTGCTTGGCTCCTCTGCATTTGTGACTGATATTTCACAGTGC